TAACCAGCATCCGAATAGCCCACCAATGTCATATCTTGATTTTTCTTATAAAGTAAACAAAGATCTTGTGAACCTTGAAGATACCTAAAAATATGTTTAATACCATTCCAGTGTCTCATCGTAGGAGAAGCACTAAACCTTGCTAGCAAGTTTACTGCAAATGAAATATCAGGCCTGGTGAAATTTGCAAGATAAAGTAACGCACCAATGGTGCTCAAATAAGGAACTTCTGGTCCTAAAGTTTCTTCGGTATCTTCTTTAGGTCTAAATGGATCCTTATCCGCTTCAAGGGATCGGACAACCATTGATGTGCTAAGTGGATGAGATTTATCCATGTAGAATTTTTCTAAAACCTTCTTCAAGTAGGTTGACTGGTGTACAAATATTCCTTCAGGGAAATGCTCGATCTGCAGGCCGAGACAATATTTGATTTTACCCAAATCTTTCATTTCAAACTCCGTCTTTAGGCATGAGCTAGCTTTATCAAGCTCCTCTCATGTGACAATTATATTTATGTCATCGACATAAACTGAAATAATGCAAAAGTCATTAGTTGACTTCTTCATAAACACACAGGGGCACACATCGTTATTCACATAATTATTTTTCAACAAAAACTCACTCAGCCGGTTGTACCATATTCTACCCGACTGCTTTAAGCCATATAATGACTTTCGTAATTTAATGCTATGCATGTTGCGCATTTCATTTTCTCTTATTTCGGGAACCTTTAATCCTTCAGGGATTTTCATATATATAGATTTGTGTCTAATGACCCATATAAATATGCGGTCACGACATCCATTAACTGCATATCTAAATTCATAGTTACTGCCAGAGATATCAAATAGCGGAACGTTATTCCATCCATTATAGGAGAATATGTTTGATCAAAATCAATTTCGTGTCTCTGCGAAAACCCTTGAGCAACTAATCTCGCTTTGTATCTCACCACGTCATTATTTTCATTTCTCTTTCGCACGAACACCCATTTATATTCTACTGGAATAACATTTTGAGGTGTACGCACAATAGAGCCAAAAACTTTTCATTTATTTAGCGAGTCTAGTTCAGCCTCAATTGCTTCTTTCCATCTTACCCAATCGGAGCGCTTCTGGCACTCTACAATTGATTTTGGTTCTGGATCCAGATTATTGGAGATGGTAAAAGCAACTATAGAGGCAAGTGTGTCGTCGACGACTATGTTACTTCTATTATAAGTTTCTCCTGTATCAACAAAATTTGTAGCTACTTCAATATTTACATCAACCAAATCTTCATCATTTTCCAATATATTTTAATATGGATGTTCTGCAATCCTATTATTTTTATTATTTGTTGCACGTGCATTTAAACTAGGATTTTCGCCTTGTGGACGATTCTCTTCTCGAGATTTCGGGAGTGATTCAATATTCTTATTAGATTTCATTTTCCGCGGATTATTGTCTTTTGTACCAACGGGTCTACCACGCTTCTGGCGTGGAGCATCTGCGGGATTATTAGATTTTATGGGGACTTCCACACGTTGTGGAGCATTTATTGAAGGTACATGAGATTTGATCACTCCTTTATGATCAGTAAATGCATCTGGCAGATTATTTGCTAAATATTGTAAATTAATTATCTTTTGAACTTCAAGTTCAGTTTGATTAGTGTGTGGATCCAAATATTGTAGATTTTCTACATTCCAAGAAATTTCTCGACATTTATTTAAGTTTGGGCTTTTATCTCCCTCTAATGCCGGAAAATTCTCTTCATCGAATATGCAGTCAGCGTACCTAGCTGTAAATTGATCCCCAGTCATGGGCTCTAGGTATTTTAGAATAGACGGAGATTCATAGCCAATATATATACCTAGCTTTCTATGAGGGCCCATAGAGATACACTGTGGTGGTGATATGGGAACATAGACTGCACAACCAAATACTCGCAGATGGGAAATGTTAGGTTCTTTACCATGCACTAGTTGTAAAGGGGAGTAATTATGATATGCAGTTGGTCGGATTTGAATTAGGGCAGCAGCATGTAAAATTGCATGTACCCAACATGAAATTGGTAAATTAGAATTTTGTAACAATGGTCTAGCAATTAATTTGATGCGCTTAATGAGTGATTCAGCTAGACCATTTTGTGTGTGGACATAAGGTACCGGATGCTCCACTTTGATGCCCAGTGGCATACAGTAATCATCAAAAGCTTTCGATGTAAATTCATCGGCATTATCCATTCTAATAATTTTAATTTGATAATCAGGAAATTGAGCTCTTAATTCAATAATTTTAGCAAGGAGCTTTGGAAAAGCCTGATTTCTAGTGGATAATAAACACACATATGTCCATCGAGTGGAAGCATCTATCAATACCATAAAGTATCGAAAAGGTCCCGAAGTGGGATGAATAGGACCACATATATCACCTTGAATCCTATGAAGGAACATAGGAGATTCAATTCCAACTTTAGTGCGTGAAGGTCTGAATATTAATTTTCCCTTTGCACAAGCATCACAAATGAATTCATTAAAAGAAGGAAGATTGCTGCTAGATACGGTATGCCCAATAGAGGTAGAAATAATTCGACGCATCATACTAAGCCCAGGATGACCCAATCGCTCATGCCATAATTTAAATGAATTTGGGTCTTTAAATTTTAAGCTCAATGCAACATGATTAATAGAAGGTCGAATGTAAGTATGGTACAAGCCTGAAGAGAAAGAGGGAAGTTCTTCTACAATTTTCTTTTGACTGCCTTGTGAATGAGTCATTAGAAGATACTCTATATTGTTTTCAGTCTTAGTTTCAAGATGAAAACCATTAGATCGAATATCTTTAAAACTAAGGAGTGTTCTTTGTGATTCAGGGTACAAAAGCGCATCGTTAATAATTAATTCGGTACCCTTAGGAAGAGTAAGTAAAGCTCTGCCGGAGCCTACTATCAAGATTTTATCATGAGCAATTGTAGAAACACTCCCTTTCTTTTCATTTAAAGTTTGAAAAAATTTCCTATCTTTCAAAATAGTGTGCGTAGTAGCACTCTCGACCAGACATAAAATGCCCTCTTTCTCCATAAGATGCAAACTAATGAATAGTTGTGGTACACTAAAATAAAAGTAAAACATTATAAGCAAACGAAGCAATCATGAAGTCCCAATTAAAACATAATGTCTGAAAACATACCAATAGCAAAAACAAACCACAAATGTCTGGCGAAGCAAAATAAATCAGAACTGTCTAATAGCAAGAAATAAACCACGAAATAAAAAGATCTAGTTCTAAGATAGAATGCATATTAATCACACATCATCACCATAGTCCTCGATCTCAAGCTTCAATAAATCATCATCATCATCAGCATTGAAAACTAAATTTGCTTCAAGCAAACTAGCATGATGTGATTCACCTTGAGGAGCCTTTCCTTTCTTATCCTTGAGCATTATTTGATAAGCCTCAACTAGATGCCGAGGAGTACGACATGTGTGGGACCAATGATTATCGCATCCACATCTAAAGCAAACCTGCTTCTGCTCTTTAGGTTGTGGATGTGAATCACGTCGATTTGAACGATCCACCTCAATGTTCAAGTTCTCGCTACGACCTCCCGGGACGTTATCACCATGACCTCGCCCACCATCTCGAGTCCAAACACGGCCACGACCGTGTCCACGATCATGACTGCGACCACGTCCACCACAGGGTGGCTGGGTATGGTATCCTCGACCTCTCCCTCGCACATTATGATGCCCGTGAGTAGTCGCATGTGCTTCAGGCACAACTTGAGTTCTAACAGGCCTAGCATTATGATTTTTCATCAACAATTGATTGTGCTTTTCGGCCACAAGCAAGGCCGATATCAGCTCAGAGTGAGTTGCATAGTTTTTAGCCCTATACTGCTGCTGGAGTACAAGGTTACTAGCATGAAAAGTTGATAAAGTCTTTCAAGAAACTCGGCCTCTGTAATGTTCTGCTTACAGAGTTTTAGCTGTGAAACAATACGATGTAGGGCCGAATTATATTCAGTGACGGATTTAAAGTCCTGAAACCGAATATTAAGCCAGTCATACTGAGCTTGAGGGAGAATTATGACCGTTTGTTGGTCAAAGCGATCCTTCAGGGATTTCCAAAGATTGGCGGGATCTTTTTCGGTGAGATATTCATTTTTCAGATGTTTATTGAGATGGTGGCGGAGAAAAATCAATGCCTTTGCCTTCTCGGCAGGAGTGCTTTGAGATGTAGAAGCACTTGTAGCACTTAATTCGAACGAGGCCAGGTGAATCTCAAAATCAAGGGCCCAAGTCAAATAATTATTCCCATCAAGAGCGAGCTCAGCAAATTCTCTTTTGGTGATATCAGTCATTGTCAAATTCTACAATAAAAATTATATTATCACAAAAAAAAATTGATTTCATGAATGATATATAGCGTTTCGATGTAAAGTTAATTACATTTAGCACAATGACATACCAACGAAAAAAAACTTTCAGGCTCCAACAGACCACATAAGAATTAATCTATACATTCATACTAATATTCCTCATTGTGATCTAATCAAGCAAGTTTCAAAGTAAATACCAATT